GAAGTGTGGTGAATTTCCAGCCAGAATTTCTCCTGGCTTCAGGTGATTTATCCATGAATTTTGTAGCCTGTGGTGTTGGATATTGCATCTTATGCATCTGACTTATGCTGTGTCAGATAAATAAGATTTGGTGTGAGAAGTTTCTTTGAAGTGCAGGGAGGAGTGAACTGCATTAAACTGACCTGGAGGAGCAGCACCAAACCCTGTGGCTGCTCCCAGCCCTGCTTGCTGTGGGTCCCTGCACGGATGGGTGGGAAGTACCAGGCCAGTTTGGCTCAGTAACCACTTCATTTGAGTAATATTTTAAGAACTGGTTGAGTGAGTGTAAAAAATCTGTTCTGGTGCGTTGAGTTTCTGTACCTCCCCCCTAAAAGTGTGCCCAAGGGAGACTTGGTCATGGTTTTTGCTTTTAGAGGATTAAATATAGCAGCATCATTGGTGTCACTCCTCTGTAGTCCATTTGAAGCATCCCCTGGGCCACATCATTCCCTGGATTTGTGGCTGCTGGCCATGGCTTTTGCTTTCAGCAGCCAGGGCTGGGGGCTGCCTGTGCGGTAGGTACGGGGCCGTGCTGAAAGAGGAGTTTGACTTTTGTGCTCACAAATCCTTACCTCTCCTAGGGTTTGTAAAAAATGGGATCTGGCAAACGCTGATCCAGCAGCTGGAAAAGCTGCTCTCCCTCTCTCTGCTCAGAACCAGCCCCTGACAGAAGGAGCAGGGGTTCCTTGGGTGGCTGGGGAGTGGTGGTGCAGGAGGATGCGGCTGCCCAGGTGCATCAGCGACTGGTCTGGGCCAGGGGTCCTGAGATTCACCCCTCATCCTGCTCCTAAAGCCAAGGGCATGAGTTAAAGTGTGTTACTTACTTGCCTTTAAGGTGTCTTTTCTGTCCTTTACCCTGTGATGACTCTTGCAGTGACCCCACACAAGCTCCGTGCTCGTCTGCCCCAGTTGTACAAATGCCATCATCACTGTTCTGCACCAATGAGAAGTGTTAATTATAAGGAAAATGAATT